TCGGTGCAAAATCTTACGAGCTCAGTTAGTAAAAGATTGTAAATTAAGAAAGAGTATGCAGATTGGGAAGTAGTTTGTCTGTCTTCTTATCCCCCTTCTTCATCAGCAAAGTGTACTTCTTTTTTTTTAATTTTCCTTAACTGCTGGATATCCCTTACTCAGTGAAATACCAACCGAATTAAATGGCGGGATTTTTCGAATTTCGTGTTCCCGGTCCTGTGTTCGATTTTAATAATGGTCTGTACTGTCCAAGCATGTCGGGCAAAATGCACCACAATGCCTCTGACTTTGTATCTCGCCTTTTGTCGCCATTGCTTAGTCTGGTGACGCGACAACACCACGATGCGGTGCCCCAGTCGAAATTCGATGGGAGGGAAAACATCAGAATTACTAATAACTGCTACCGAAAATTTAGCGGATCCCGAATGACCCAAATTTTTCAAAAAATTCGGATTTTGTGTAAAACTTACAGTTGATATAACTGGCTTTCCAGAAAGCTTTCCAAAACCGTACGGCATATGCGATCGATAAACGTGACCGACGTGTGAACAAGGCACAAACAGTATTCCACCTCCACACTGCCAAATCTGCAATCCTTCGCACTTATCTCAAACACAATTAATTGGCCAACACACGGGCTGCCCGTGCTAAGATGCGCTTTTTGCTTAGTTCCCCGCAGATTTTTGTCGCTAACGGCACTGTTTTTTTCGGCAGATGCTTCAAGTAAAAGAATTTCAGACTGGCCGACAGGACTGTCAGGAAACATCCCTTCAAAATTCCAGTCTTCTTGCTTCGCAGATTCCCGAGTTAGTAACTTACACGAAAAAACCTTTCACCAGCCCATACGTGGGAATGACTCATACCCGGGAGCTAGGTTTAAGCTCATTAATACCTACGTGAATGGAAAACATTCCCTTCAAATTCCATTCTCCTAGCTTCTCAGGTTCCCGAGCTATCAATTTACCCGAAAAAAAACTTGGCAGGCCCGTACGTGAGTACCACGCATACCCGAGGACTGGGTTTGAGCTCACTGAGAATTATGTGGACAGGAACATTCTCTTAAAATCCCAGTCTTCTAGCTTCTCAGGTTCCCAAGTTATCAACTTACCCGAAAAAAATTTCCACGAGCCCGTACGTGGGTACCACGCATACCCGACGGCTCGGTTTGAGCTTACTGAGACTTACGTGGACGGGGAACATCCCCTTAAAATTTTAGCTTTCTAGCTTTTCTGGTTCTCGAGTTAGCGACTTACTTTTCTGGTTCTCGAGCAAAAAACTTTCAGAGACCCGTACATGGGTGCCACGCGGGTAAGAGCGCTCATTTTGGGGAGTGGGGCCCGTAGGTTCATGTAGGCTAAGTTCCCTAAGTTTCAGCCCTGCAGCTTTTGTAGGTCTTGAGATGAAAAACCGTGACAGACGCACACACGGACA